ATGTATGGGTCACTTATAAATGTAGTGTTTCACACACAAAATACGTATGGGTCACTTATAAATGTAGTGTTTTACACACAAAATACGTACTGGATCACTTATAAATGTAGTGTTTCACACACAAAATACGTACTGGATCACTTATAAATGTAGTGTTTCACACAAAATATGTATGGGTCACTTATAAATGTAGTGTTTCACACACAAAATACGTATGGGTCACTTATAAATGTAGTGTTTCACACAAAATACGTATGGGTCACTTATAAATGTAGTGTTTCACACACAAAATACGTATGGATCACTTATAAATGTAGTGTTTCACACAAAATACGTATGGATCACTTATAAATGTAGTGTTTCACACAAAATATGTATGGGTCACTTATAAATGTAGTGTTTCACACACATTAACAGTTAACGGTATTGACTTTTTGTACTATTTACAGCTCACAGAACTGCATACAATATAACATAGAAACTAATTCTCTTGAAAACAAAAGTAGATATGAAATTTTAATTATAGTTTTGAGCATCAACTGCGAAATAATAAATGCGTCTAAAAAACTGGTTTGCCCCTGATGAAGAAAGGGTCAACTTCCTAAAGCGTTCGGATGATAAGGTTTCGTGTATTTTTATGGGTAACTTTGAGATATGTCTGTGTTTAATGATCTACTGTGTAAATTTGAACGAATAATTTTATTCTATTTTTACCTTTTAATTCTGTTTTTCAGAAATATCATCCACAACAAATGGCGACTCTTCAAGTGATCCAGTTACCCAGAGTCGCTATTCAGCGCTGCCATCTACCGAGCAGTCAAAGAATGAATCTAGAGTGAATGCATTAAGCAACATTCCTAGTTCTGTCCATTCGTCTCAAAGCACAGCCTCTCCTGTAATTACAAAGAGTGAAAGTAAAATTGATGGAAAAAATAAAAAGCCAAGAAGACGTCGAACGGCTTTCACGCAGTCGCAGTTGGCTTTCTTAGAGCGGAAATTCAGGTGTCAAAAATACCTTAGTGTGACAGACAGAAGTAATGTAGCAGAAGCTCTAAACCTGACAGAAACACAAGTGAAGACCTGGTACCAGAATCGAAGGTAGGTGAACCACAGTTGTAATAGTGATTATACTAAGCGTGGTTATAGAGATTAAAGTCGAATTGTCGTGGTCAAGATATTGTATACACGATAGTTATACTCCAATAATATTGTTTGTTTTGAATTTCGCGCAAAGCTACACGAGGGCTATCTGCGCTAGCCGTCCCTAATTTAGCCGTGTAAGACTATAGGGAAGGCAGCTACTCATCACCACCCACCGCCAACTCTTGGGCTACTCTCTTAGCAACGAATAGTGGGATTGCCCGTCACATTATAACGCCCCCACGGCATGTTTGGTGTGACGGGGATTCGAACCCGCGACCCTCAGATTGCGAGTCGAGCGCGCTAACCACCTGGCTATGCAGGGCCCTACTCCAATAATAACCACTAAGATGTTACTTATACAGAATAAGATAAGTGTGAATATATGCGTATGGACAACAAATTATTACACTCAGTTCTACAACAAACAATATATCTTTTACAGTTAATAAATATTATTTCTAGACATTTCTGAACCTTGATACTGTTAAACTTTGCTGTAATTATGAGTTATTTTCTTTTGTTTAGAAAATATCTTTTCCAATTCTAATTAAATTTAATTTTTAGGAGATATTATATAATATTGGTAATCTTTCTTCTTCTTTTTATGCAAGGACGAAGTGGAAAAGACAACACAACGTGAAACTTGACCATCTGCGACAGCATTCTACGTCAGAAACCGACCTGCCACCTAGTATCGCTGCGGATCCCCATTCCTTTCAGGCGGCATACTATAACACGTGTATTTTTCCACTTTCTGATTCACCGGGAGCTAGCGCGTGTATATTCCCTCCGGAACTTGTTAGAAACTTTTATTTGCAGAGTTTTTAAAACTAAACACAAATAGAAATGTTTTTCTGTCTTGTTCTCGAATTTCTACAAAAATTGTGTATTTAAAATGTCCTTTTTTTTTTAACCTACCAAGGGAAATAAAAGCAGAAAACCTTACTGGACGTTATTTTATGCTCCATTTTCTTTTTTCTGTAATATTCCATTCCAGACAATCAGTATCACTTTTTGTGCTGTCCTCTTTGCAACTGTTACGTATCTGCTTGTTTGTTAATTTCCGGAAGAAATTCTTTCCGAGGAACTTCAGCGATACAAGTCCTTTCTTGATTAAACCAATTTCTTCTTCCTCGATACAAACTTTTAGTGCACAGTAATTCCACAGTCAATACGTTTCTCGTCACTTTAAACTTAACAACTTTTAAAATACACGCTATAAATCACAGTGATTCACACACTTTACTTACCGTCACTACTGTTCGCTTCTTTAATTAGTTATCTATCGCTGGCTTCTCTGTCAGGCTTATATACTAACAAAGGGCACTCGGGTCTCCCCTATCATTCATAATCATTCGAGAAATTTCACGCACACTACCAGTGCTACTTCCGCTGTAGTAACACTGCCCCTTCTTACGTATTGTTCATCCTGACCAGTAGCCCCTTACATTAAACCATAGATAATTAACAATAAC